GCCGAACAGCTTGTAGCGGTTTTGCGCCAAAAAATTGTAAGGGAGGGGCGCTATAGCGCAACACAGATCCACTGATGACTCCTTTTTTTCTTTGAGACTCCGCTCCAGACCGTCCTTCAAGGCTGCGCTGAAGGGAAGCCTGCAGGCACGAAAATGCCATTTGGAGAGATCGTATTTGTACGCGTAACACGACTTCGTATTTCAGGGACACGGTCCCTGGGCCATCATTGAGGGCTGTAGAGTTGAGAGATACAGTTAACTGGTCACTTGCACTTTAGGGGTCGGAATGGATCATATCTGACTCTCGCATTGTTTTTCTTCTGGTTTTCTTTTCACGATCGAGGTCGAGGCTGTCAGACCTTTTCGTCTATGTGCAGACTCGCTCAGATCCATCATCGTGGTCGGCGACATGATCGCAGGTTTAGCCTTCAGACCTATACAACACAAAATGTTAAATGATCGCAGACCAGCTCTGTCATTTTCGCAGCTTGAGGTACAGTCGTTCCATCCTTGCACTGTGATTAGGGAGCACTGTCGCGAGAAGGAGCCGCTTGAGACACTGTCTTGCTAGCCTTCTCCAGCCTTTTCGTTGAAACCGGCGTATGCCGACAAAAAAGTGCTATAGAAACGCCAGTTAACCAAGGATATATACAGTAATGATTTACATTTTGGCTCCTCACACGATGGCGTGCGAGATCGGTCGTGCGTGGCACCGCCGCCGACCGCAGCTCGCACTTACTTATGACTATCCAAGTTGCCAAGAGATGCCGACTGTATTAGGTTGGCGGGAAAGTTCTGTCACATTTTTTCAAACTAGGCTTTCTTTTTATAGAGATGCGTACAAGATCAAAATTATACAGCAATGTCATTGAGGAATCTCTGAAGGTTTTCGAGCACTTCTTGGATGTCATCGCTTCACTATGGAGGCTGGCACGACGCAATGCTGGGCATCATCTCAATGTTGACTTGGGCTCGAGTCGTGGAGGTTTTCTCGGCCATATAACGGTTATGTCCGAGAGGTAGCTAGCAGTTAGAATGAGCAATGTCTGGGGTACACCGGTGCAGGGGGAGAGCCATCCAGCTCTTTTGCATGAAGTTCGGCTCGAACTTTTTTGGACAGAGGGGGCTGCACCATCACGTTGAAGACGGACTGTGCGGACGAATTTTTCCCTCTGATCGACGATTCGCCTCAGCTCTCGTAGCTGCTTTGCATATGGATCGACCAAGGACGCAGCTTCTTCGTCCAGCAGTTAACCGACCCACAGCTCCCTCAGGCTAAGTTTACAGGTGCGGCTCTGAAGCTTTAGCGTCGTGGAAGGTTGTCTAATAATCGTAGACATCGTCCTTATGCAGCTCCATTATTTTGGCATCAGCAGCTCTCATTCTGGCGCCAGGGCGATAGAAGAATTTAAGGAAGCGCTTGGAGGGATCAGTGCCAGAGGTGGCGGATAACATGCTTGTTCATATTGCACGATAAGGAGAAGCAGGAGTCAAGCCAGTGATAGCAATAGAAAGACCATTCTTTGATGTATAAGTGCTCACATTACCGCATAACGCTCTTCAGGTAATTGCAAATATTTTGGGTTCAAAAATATATGACAGAACTTTCCCGCCAACCTAATACATGACATGTTATTCATTTCACTTTTCTTTGCATTGCAGCTTTTGGCACCACCGGAATCAGCACTTCGCGCGGGACCCATGATGAACATCCCGCAGGAGCTGAGCATATCTACTTTGACGAAGCATAAGAAGAAATTGGTTATTTCTTGGAATACTCCTGTAGCGTTGGCATACTATTCTCTAGAGAAGATCTCGATTTCAGCGAACCTTGAAAGAAGATCGGCCTGTGCCCTCCGTCATATCTCCTGCTTCAAAGGCAAAACGCCGACCGGCTACGACGACGAACAGTGCAGAACAAGTCGGAACTTGTAACATCGCTTTAGATCCGTGAATTTATTCTGTTGTGATAAATTTCAGAAGAGAAATAAGGCTGATTCGGACGAGCCGTCGCAAGAGACCTTCAAGGAGCTTTCCGGTCTACTTCAGGTGAAAGAGTTCGGCTGAAAAATCTCTTACTCTCTTACAAAAAAATTATTCGAGGATTTTGCCGTTTCTCTTCGGGCCATTTGAATCGAGTCAATGTAGCAGTGCAAAAACTGTTATATTCCAAGAAAATTGTGACATTCTGCGCAGGGCAGTCCAATGAAGCACATTTGCATTCAGAGCGAAAGGTTATGCGGACACTGCATATGCAAAGGATGGCTATAAATAATGGCTTGTCAAAAATCGTCCATCAAAGGCTCTTTTCCCACTTATTTTTCTTATCCAGTGAGAGCAGAAGGAGACTTTCTGAAGTACGCCTAACGACGGTTGCGAGAGTCCAGACAAAAGAGAGGCAGAGACGTACAGTGGTGCATCGGGCGTTTGACGAGGCGCGGTTGGGAGCGCAGCCAGAGCGGTCTTGATTCAACAACGATGTCATCCTGAGTCCAGTACAATTGGCGGAGAATCTGATCTGACTGTGCTCCAAGCTAGGTCGCCCTCTTGCACCTTATCGTTTTCGGGGATAGAGACTGTATATATTAGGCTGTCCGGAATGTTCTCAGCGTTTTGTATTACCACATTTTGTATACTTATTGCTGATTAAAATCTCATTCTCCCTTGCTCCTCAGTAGTGCATTCTGAAGAGAATTCTTTGCGCTATCTGATGGTTTAATTGCCGTTTCACCATTGCTTGATGAACCCCCTTTTCCCAAGACTTTTTGAAGCATGTCAAAAGAGCAAATTGGGTCAATCCGCAGTCGAGACAATTAACCAGGCGTGGGGGCCCAATAGTGTTGGAGAAAGCACTGTGCCACAATGGTTCGACAAATTTCGTTCTGGAGTTTTCAGCCTTGAAGATGAACCTCGTAGCGGTCGACCTAAAGCAATACCTAACGAGGATATGAAGGCGACTGTGGAGCTGACTCATCCCAAATAGTTCGAGAGAGTGCAGAAAAGCTAGACGTTGGCAAATCCACTGTTGCGGATGGTCTGAAACGCATTGGGAAGGTGAAAAAACTCGATAAGTGAGTGTCCTTTGCGCTGATCTGCATGGTTCCTTAATCCTGCGTTTCACACATTGCTATGAAACCACCTTTTCCCAAGACTTTTTGAAGCATTGCTCACAGACGCAGACTTTCAGACGACCAAATCATTTTGAATCCTATCAACTCACAACATCTCGGGGTCAAGCCTCCGCAGCCAGTCGGAAATTTTAATACGGCGTGCGGGGGCCCCATAGTGTTGGCAGAAAGCACCTCGTGCCACAGTTGGGTTCGACAAAATTTCCTCCTGGAGTTATTTCAGACCTGAAGCCTGAACTCTCGTCAGCTTCGACCCCTAAGACCATACCCTAACCGAACGGATAGCTGAAGGCGATTGTGAGCTTGCTGAACCTCCACAATAGTTCGTGACGAAGTGCCGACACCAGCTACGGCGTTCCCAGCGCACAATTCATTGTTGCGGGCATGGTCCTGAACACGCATTGGGAAGGTGAAAAACTCGATATAGTGAGTGCCCAGGTGCACAGTAGAATCCGCGGACACTTCCGGAGGTTTCTTCTTCACTGCTTCTTGCCGCAGAGACCACGGACCCCGTTTCGGCAAAACGCAATGTACCTGTGATTCTGGAAAGTGCGCATCATGTATGATGAAACAGACTCCCGTGCGCCCTGAATGCTGCGACGAGACCACCGCAACGCCATTTTCCTACAAGCCGAATCTCCTCACGAAAAAATGATTAATCGCATCCGACAGCACCCATGTGGTGCGTCATCGGGACTAGTGTCGATCCATATAACTTTCTGCCACCAGGGACCAAACTTTAGCAGCGGAGCCTACTGTGAAGAAAACGTACGATGAAAATGTCCGAAAATTGCAGTCAGCTTGCAGCAGCCATCTGTCAGAAAGAGTCCGGATTACTTTTGCTTTCGACACTGCCGCCCACATCGCTTTCACAGTCACTAGCATAAATTGAACATTATTGGTTGTGATTTCGTACCTCACGTCAAACCGAACTACAAACCTCTTCTAACATTCTTTCATGGACCTCCCTTCCTTGCCTACTGACAAAGTACTTCTCAGAG